GAAGCATCTTTTGTGTAGATGCCTACTTGTGAATCTATGGCGTCAGGAAGATCGTTGATGAAGATAAGGAACAGAGTAGGGCCTATGATGGAACCTTGAGGAACACCTGCGTTCGTGGGATAGGAGCTGGAGGAGAATCCGTTGAGAACGACCTTCAATTCACGGTTTGACAGAAATGATTGTATTAGGTCAAACAATCGACCTGTAATACAATAACCCTTTGCCGAAGAGGGGTTGGAGACTGATTGGACGGTAATTAGAAGGGTCAGAGGGGTCTCCAGAGTTCTTAAAGACAGGAACAATCGATGAGGACTTCCATCAGTCTGGAAAACAGGATTCCTTGAGGAAGTAGTTATATAGTTTAAAGAGGGCGGGCGCTAGTTCAGGTGCGCATTTCTTCAAGACTATGGCTGGTACCCCATCTCGACCATTAGGCTTGTGGGGGTCTAAATTAGAGATAATGCCCAATACCAATGACAGGGTTATGTACATCCCGCTCAATAGGACCTCAGTTCTAAGAGGAAAATCGGATATGGGTACACCGGAAGAGTCGAGCGTTGAATTGAATGAAAATTTCCGAGCAAAGCATTCAGTCTTGTCGACAGAGGAGGTCGGGACCTCAAACTGGTTGAACAAGGACTTACGATTTTTTTATATTGTCACTGATGTTTCCAAATACAAACTGTACTATGTAGCACATAGCTGAAGAAGATGGATTCATAGATTTTGGAAAAGCAATTGCGTGGAAAGAAAAAAGTAATGGACTTTTATTAATCGAACACATTTTTAAATTTCAAACGTTATTTTTAGTGGATAACCATATTTGAGTCTACTCAAATATGAGTATACATAAAAATGAGGCCTAAATCAATCATAATTATATATATATATATATATATACATATATATATATATATATCAGACACTTCCTCTGCATCACAGTTCCTCCGTGTGGCTAGACGTCCGATTGCCTCAAGCATTAGTCAAAGATTCCACCCCTAAGCTATCGGTGCACGGCAGTGGAAAGCAAATTCTTACATATTATATACGAATGTATACAGTCACCAACAGCGAGAGGTCTCAATTCATTAATGAATAGCAATACGTTAACACACACACACACACACATACATATATGTGTGGGGGTGATCTCCATAAAGTTCGTGTGCACATCAAGAATTTATAACTTTATTTGTATTTGCGATAGAAATAATCTGTAAAAAATGTTATAAAGTTTAATGTACCTAGTTTTAAGTATAGCTAAAATACCTAATGTGATTTCAAGCATTACTGTAAATCAGTTGTCAAATGTTTTCAGTGAACTGTAAAATTTCAATAACCTTTGTATTTCTATTAATGGAGGAGATGTGGAAATTTCAATAAAACCTTAAACAACATATATTTACTTCTTTCTACTTCTTTTTACAGATTATTTCTATCGCAAATACAAATATATATATAACTCGTCTTCGACAGGGTGTTTCATTACTGGGAATTTCTGCCGTTGAATTGAGCTGTTTAAGCCCACCCCAAAATCCATATTAGAAACAACAATTGATACAACAGAGGCACATGACCAGATGGTGGGTGGGTAACAATTTGAATGGTAGGGTTGTTCTCAATCCTACAAGGAAGGAACCTCTTCCATAGACCGTCATAATAATATACGATAATTTTTATTTATAATACTATATATACATGTTTTTTAAATTCAAATAATCTATAGCGTTAGTTTTTATATCTCTAAATTGATTTTACGCTGTTTTTTTACAGATATTAAATATTGCCAGTGATTTTTTTGTAAAAATCAGTTATTTTCAATTTTTCGCCTGCAAGATTGTAATGTTTTCCAGCCAATTTGGACTAAAAACCGGTACAGAAGAATAATCAATCAAACAAATTAATTTCCTCTAAATCGGACGAAAGCTGTGGAAACGCATGAACAACATGCAATCAAACACACATATATACACACACATTTTGAGAATTATATATATATATATATATATATATATATATGTGTGTGTGTGTGTGTGTGTGTTTATGTTTATATGCTTATATTTATATGCCGAAACTTTCGTCTCTACTAAGTCAGGTCGATAGATTAAACATGGTGAATTGTTTGGGTCTGTAGCACAATCATACTGCTATAAGCATAAGTCCCGTTTCCTAGCTCCAGGCGTAAACAAAATATGCAGAGACAGGAGTCAAGGGAAAGACGAAGCTGGTAGGGCCAAACGAAATATTTCTATTGTAATATTCTAGTCAATTGCGATATATGACTGGCTGAAAACGCCGTAAGGATTGCAAAGAATAAAGTTCAATTGCACTCTACGTAGACGATTGAACCATATTAAAACCAGTGACAAACAAAGGGAAAAACTCAATATAGTATTTTGGAATGAGGACAATATAAAGATTTGATCAATGTGTACAGGCACACATAGACACGCAACAGCGTACACACACATACACACACACACACACACACACACACATATATATATATATATATATATATATATATATATAATTTAAGTAACAAAAATCCTGATAGCTCAATGTTAAGTCAGAACGTATAATTTAATTTAAAGCAAAACAGACCACTTTAAGGCTCCATTTGTAATAATTTATTTCACCAGAGAATTTTATTATTCTCTGAATTTTCAGACTTCACTTTCAAAAGGTTAAACGAAAAATGAATTTAAAATTCACAATTTTGACGGACACCATTAAGCTTATATAAGTTGACATAGAAGATGTTGAGGAATAGTTTGAGAGACATGGCCGAGTTTAGAGAAGGAACGGAGAGTTATAAAATTAATTTTCATATTTCTTTTTATTATAATACTTAATATATTTAGTCAACGACGAAATTATTCGTACACCCATCAGTTTTTGAATATTTTTATCCATTTCTCAGAATCTAATACCCGTATGATGCCAAGTTTTTGATTTTTGGTAATAAGACAAAAAAAATAAAGAATATAAAACCAAATTTTAGAACAATGAGCTAATTACAACAATTTTGAAAGGCGGTTTAAGCAAATAGGAAAATGCAAAAATATTCGTACAGTATGAAAAATAAAAGAAAATGATAATTTTCGCATTATTAATACTCAATAACGTGGACTGTCATCTTAATTAGAAATATATCCGATGATGCAATTCGTTATTTAAAGTTTCATCAGAGGCAAAAGTGAAAGAATAAAATCCACGTGTGGCGAGACATCCGAATGCCTCAAGCCGGGATCGAAACACGAATGAACCGGTGATTTGACCCCCAAAGCCATGGAAGAAGGTCAATTTGTACGTATTCATTTTTAAACCATATATATATATATATATATATATATATATATATATATGAAGAAATATATTTTTAAGTTGTGCTATATTTATGTGATAAAGTGCTCAATATCAGAGATAGAGCGTATATAAGTATAAAAGTGATCATTGACTGTTTCATTCTAGGCGCAATCGTCAGGCAGCGGATGTTGGATTTTTCCTCGACTATTTATATATATATATGGGTTAGTGGTGCATTGTGGATAATAAAATAATAATAAAATAATAATAAAAGATGTTCATTGAGTTATCTCTTTTTTTTCGAGTGTATTTATCGGCATAATATATGTTAATTTAATCAATAGATTTATCTTGAAAATGATGTGCGGACTTAACTATGTGAAAATCTTAGCCGAGAGAAATGTCCCGGAATAGTTTATTTATTTATTTTCATCTGTCATGTCCTTTCAGGACGTAGGCGATAATAGCCTTCCACCTCACCCTATCCTTTGCAGCTCTCAAATTCCTTCCTTCTGCTTCCTCCCCCTGACCACGTTCTGTCATTGCTTACGTCCGCCACTTAGTTCATGCGTTGTTTTCCCTTGTCTCACTTTCTTTCCCTCTATTCGACCCGTGAGTATACGATACTCCATGACCTCCTTCTTCATCATGGTTCCCGGGAACTTCAGCTGCTTCTTCGTGATATTAAGTATAAGCTTCCTCCTTCTTCGCAACCTCTCTAAGATTTCATCTTTGCTCACACGCACGGTGCATGATTTCCTTAACATCCTTCTGTAGAACCACACCTGTCACCTCGTGTCTCTTCTTCATCTTTGAGGAAATGATCCAACATTCGCTAACGTAAAGAAGGACAGATGTCACGTAGCAGTTTAGTCTTTTTACTTTGTTACCAAAGATATCCTCCTGTCTCGCAGTACTCTGCCCAACTTTTAGAATGTGTTTTTGGCTATCCCAATACACATATAGATCTCAGAGTCGCACTTACATTCCTCTGTCAAGGCGCTTCCCAGATATTTAAACTTTCGCGTCTGCTTGATTCTAGTGTTCCCGACCTTCAGCTCGCATTTCGGGCTCATCCGCTTATGTGAAGAAAAGGAAAGAGGAAGAGAGAAGGGGTTACTTACGGACGGGTTGCTTGAGCCTCGGGGGAATTGTGTCCAGCTAAACTGGAACCAAATGACCAACTGATATTTATGGTCTTGGTCGGAGGAGGATTGTGGGAAGCAGTTAGCCTCCTTATAAAAACCCTCCTCTGTATTCTGATTGACCTATTTTTCTCTATCAGCCGACACGTGACTGGTTATTTGTCGTGCTGAAGGATTATTCTTTTTTTCTGCTCTGTTACTCGACCTAGTTGGAGCAGGTCGCAAGAGGAGGATTCCTTTTGCAACCCTTACCAGGCTGTCGCTGCTCTCTTCTGGGTTTTCCCTACTTTACTGTGTCGAAAGTTTTTTTTTTTTTTCCGACAAATTGCAAAAGGACCTTCTACAGAAATTTGTTTTTTCTTTTTTTTGTTAACGGCATTTCTTTAAAAAAAAAAAAAAATGGATGTTACTAAAGAACAGATCCTTCATAGGTTGACTGTTCTTAAAATCAAAGTCGAGGAACGACTGAAGTTGTGTCGTGGAGACAGAGTAACGCCTCATGTTTTCTCTGTCTTCCGAAAGGATATTCTGCAATACATCTTCGAAATGGAGACTTGTATCACAAAATTAGAGCTGGGCTCCTTCCCCGAGACGGACTTGCTTGAGACCGAAGCTGAATGGGCGCCTCGACTAATGGAGTACCACCGAGAACTGGGCGATCTGGATGGTTCATTTTCTCCCAGTTCCTGCTTGGATCCTGTTTCCCAGTCGTTTGGGGTTCCGTCAACACCTGGAAGAAGTTCGGCTTCCTTTGTTGTCAAACCTCCGCAAATACAAATAACGGGGCCCACCTTTAGCGGACTTGAGATGGCTGACGACCACATGAGTTTCCGGAATTTTTTGACGAGATTCGAAAACTGTGTGGTTGGCATGGCCAATAAACTCTGAAAGATTAAACTTTCTGAAATGTTCCCTCTCCGACAGAGCTTTAAGACTGATTAACCATTTGAGTTGCACGGATGCCAACTATCAGCGTGCTCTTTCGGTGTTAAAGAGGGAGTATTTGGACATTGATGAGATAATCGACCAGATATTTCAAGACATTCTAGACTATGTTCTAAAAAGGACATCTGCTGCTCTGGTCTGGGTGAATTTATCTCCAGGACTGCCTCTCTTGGAGGAGCTAGAATTCTTTTTCTTGCGACTTTTCGGTGGACGATTCTGGTGGAGCTCGCCTAATGGCCAAGATTCTTTTTCAGAAATTTCCCAAAGAATTGAAGGGGAAATGATAGGACTAACAGGTAAACGAATACCATCATTGTCTGCTATATTGGAACTTACAAGTGAGGCAGTCAAACGATTACGGGTTAAAGGGAAGCGCGTCTGCTGCTTCTACATTCACCACTGGCCAGGGTTCTTCTCAAAAAAACCGCACGGAGGGCCACTGTTACTTCTTCCTTTCATGTGGATTCCAACATCCTGACTTCTGCTGGTTATTCCCGTAGCTTGCCCCCATCCTATTGGTCACTTTTTTCAATGGAGAAAAAAATGGTGTCAGTTAATTGCCTTTTGGACACTGGTAGTGGGCGTTCGTACTTGTCTGCTGATGTACTGAGGGACTTGGGTTCAGTTGAGACTGTTGGAGTCAGTTGTCGGCTTAGACTTTTCACCCTCCTTGGTGAGTGTGACCGGAATTTCACGGAGGTGGTTCTGGGAGTTGACCTTGGTTCTGGTGAGGCTTTGGCTTCCTCTGTTTTGGTCACTGATGCAATGGACTTGTCTGTACGACTGGCTCACTTGGAGACCCTGTTGGGTGCTTTTAGGGCAGCTGACTATAATTTGGCTGGCCAATTTGAGGCCGGGTCAGACCTTGTGCTTATCAAGGGCATTATTGGATTGGACCTTATTCATCGATTGATTACATTGAAGTTGGTCCCCTGTCTGAGGGGTTGGGCATTTTCTGTTCCGTCAGGCCTGGTTCCCTTTGGAACTGTGGACTCCTTTTTGTCAGGAGACAAGATCCCTTGTGAAGTGGCCCACCTCTCCTTTAATACTGTAATGGGGGGATACCCCGAAGTGAATTCCTCACATTTGTGCTTCGTTCTTGAAAACCAACCAACCTACCTTGACCCTTTGGCGGAGTTTTTCCTGACAGTGCAGTACAAAGAGGATTGGAACGGATGTTTGACATGGAGTCCCTAGGAATATCTGATGAGGATACCTTCTCTGATTATGATCAAGAACAGATGAGACGTTTTAAGGATACTGTGGAGCTCAAGGATGGGAAGTATTACGTGGAGCTTCCCTGGCATTCTGATAAGTTGGCTCGGGTCCCATCCAATCACGCCGTTTCTTTGCGCATCTTGGACCGGGTGGCTTCAACCCTGACTAAAAAGAATATTTATCTGGAATACTTAGAGGTGTTCCGTCAGCAAGAACAGGATGGAATAATTGAAGAGATTTTTGTTCCCCAACACGAATTTGATAAATATGTGTGGATTCCACATCGACCGGTTTTCATGTCTGACCCAACAGCTACTACCAAAATCAGACCTGTGTTCAATTGCAGTCTGAAGACTGGTGGTGGATTGTCCCTGAACGAGGCAGCTTACTCTGGGGTCAATCTAACTGGAGATATGTTGAAGTTATTATTGTCTTTCAGAACTAACAATTACGTTCTGCTAGCAGACATTCGAAAGGCATTCTTGATGATTCATCTCAAGTTGGAGACTGACAAAAAACCGGTTTTGTTTCTTCCTTAAGGATGGGGATCGTCTTCGCTGTTTTCGATATACCACCTTGATATTCGGGTTCACCTCAAGCCCCTTTGTACTGGGGTGTATCCTGAAACTACATGCAGCAAGATACCCACTGGACGCTTGCCGCAGGATGATTGAGGACAGATTTTATGTGGACAACCTTGTAACATCGGAAGCAGATCCAGTGAAGCTGGCGAAATTGTACTCCCTGGCACGGGAACGTTTGCAGGAAGGCGGCTTTGTTATTCAGTCCTGCAACTCCAACGATGAGGCTCTCGAGCCAGGATGAAAGAAGATGGTACACTGAGTGCACATGATGAAGAATGGGAGAAGGTACTGGGTTACCGATACAACCCTCTTTCAGAAGAGATGCACGTGGGCCACGTCAGGTGCGATCCCGATGCGTCAACAAAGAGGGGAGTGCTTTCTGAGTCAGCCAAAATTTTTGACCCCTTATCTCTTTGTCTCCCCAGTTACGGTTCGCAGCCGAATACTTATTAGGTCTATGTGGAAGAATGGTTTGGGTTGGGATGATCCTCTCCCTACTGCGGTTTTAAGTGATTGGAGGGAGCTTGCTGGGGACCTGTCTGGACTGAGGACTTCCATTTTTATCGAAAGGTTCTCGATGCGAGACAGCCTGGAGATATGTACCTCTTTGCGACGCTTCCACGGAGGCATATGGATTTGCCGCTTACATTGTGCAAAATCATCGATCGTCCTTGGTGTTTGCTAAGGCTAAGGTCGCTCCGATGAAAGACAAAACTCTACCTGTTTTGGAGTTAATGGCTGTTTATCTCGCTTTCAAGTGCCTACCAACAATCCTGGACAACTGTGAAGGGTTTGTTCCAAGTAACTTATGTGGCTACTGATGCCCAAGTAGTGTTGTCTTGGCTCTTGTCTCAATCCATGGCCATCAAAAACATTTTGCTAGAAACCGACTCAAGGACGTCCTGCAAATGAACCTTGGGTTAGAATCCCGTTACGGCCTGAAGACTCTCTTCAAATATGTGGATTCTGCACATAATCCGGCCGATCTGATCACGAGGGAATGACGTTGAGGAAGTTTCGTTCAACTTCCAATTTTGGTGTTCTGGTCCTTCTTGGTTGTGTGAGGGAATCATCCAGTGGCCGACACAAGACTTGCCTTGTTTAAGCGAGACGTGCCAGCAGATGGCCCGTACTTCAGTGCACTGTTCTATGGTTCTGAACCAAGAATACCTCTCCGTCATACCCTTTCACAGGTTCTCAACATTTTCTGGGTTACTGAGAGTTACCTCACTGGTGTTCAAGTTCATAGCCATTCGGCTAGGACGGAGTGGGATTACAGATCTAAGGCAGCCATTTACCTGATGAGAGTTCTCCAACGACATGAATTCCCTTCAGAGGTTGAGTATTTAATGAAGCCAGCAGGAAGATCTGAACCCGTCAGAGTTCGTGCCCTGGATCTTTTTGGACTCGGATGGGTTAATCAGATCAAGAGGAAGAATCGACCGATCTTCATATTTTACCTATGAAATCAAGAACCCTATCCTGATAGGGAAACACCACCCTGTGACCAGACTTATTATTTTGGATTGTCATATAAAGTGTTGTCACCTTGGAACTGGATCTACTTTGGCTGAGTTGAGGCGGAGGCTACTGGGTCCCTCAAGGAAGACAGGCCGTCAACAAGGTTCTAAAGTCATGTGCCAGATGCAAACGATACAATTCGCGACCAGTACTGCCGAGTGCTGCGGCCAGCTTACCAACTCATCGAGTCGAATTTGAGGTCCCTTACCAGCATACAGGCGTTGATTTCACCGGCCATTTCTGGGTGAATGATGGTAAAGCAGGACAAGAAGATGTACTTGCTCTTGTTCACGTGCTTGAATATCAGAGTAATACATATTGAGTTGGTTCCAGACATGAGTGTGCTATCCTTCTTTCAAGCCCTGGTTCGCTTCACCAACCAAAGTGGAGTTCGGAAGTAATCTACAGTGACAATGCTAAAACCTTTCTGGGAAGCGGAAGACTTTTTAGTCGCCTCTCTGTCTTCCAGGAGTATAAAAGCAAGTATGGTTCTTGCGGGTTAAAACTAAAAACCATCCCTCTGTTTTCACCTTGGTACTGGGGAACATGGGAGCGTTGCATTAAAACGGTGAAGGATTGCCTTTTTAAGATTCTTGGCAGAGGTAAACTGGATTATTTTACCCTCTTGACAGTGGTCTCTGATATTCAGAGATCGGTCAACAACCGACCTCTGACCTATCAGTTGTCTGCTGATAACAATGCTGCTGCTATCACACCCAACATGTTACTTAGGCCCAACAAGAGTCCGGGGCTGTTGTTGCGATTGAACAAAAATGACATCGCTTCTGCAGTACCAGCCAGTAGAAAAAGGCTCGTGGAAGCAATGGACATCAGGAACCAGTATTTATTAAGGTTCCATGAGTCCTGGTACAAGGAATACCTTCTGGAGCTGGGAAGAAGGGTCCCAGGACGCACACGGTTGCGGACAGAGAACCGGCTTCAGAAAGATGATGTGGTCCTGATTAAGAGTCCTCTGAAACCGCGACCATTTTGGGTCTTGGGGACAATTACAGATCTCATACCCGGTGATGATGGTGTGGTCAGGTCTGCTCGTGTCCGAAAGGGGGGTGGTCTCGAAGAGGTACACTCTTTGAAACACCTCTACCCTGGAACTTTCCTGACAGCTAACCGTTCTTCTGAGTTACCAACTAGTGGTCCTGTGTCACCCCTGGGAGTGCTTTGATTGCAGAGAGGGACGAGGTTCCATCATGTTCTGCTGCCAACGATGAGGAGCATGTCTGGTTGTGTCCTGTGTGCAACTCTCCTCAGGGAAATCTGGACATGATCAGGTGTGATTCTTGTGATGAATGGTTCCATTTTCATTGTGTTGGCATTGACGAGGAGCCGCCTGAAAGGCAGAAGTAGTACTGCCCTGAGTGTGCGCCCCAAAGACGACGCAGGGGTAGACCAAGTCTGCTTCCCGCCTAATTGGCAATCAGTTAGCCATTTAGAAATAAGAACTCAACTCGCCTGTCAGGGAGAGACATTGTTACCCGTTTTTTTTTTTTTTTTTGTTCTTTTGTTTTTCTCTCTTCTCTTTCTTTTCTACACGTCTTTTTTGTGTTTTTGCTGTCAGGGAATGTGTGAAGAAAAGGAAGAGGAAGAGAGAAGGGGTTACTACGGACAGGTTGCTTGAGCCTGGGGGGGTGTGTCCAGCTAAACTGGAACCAAATGACCAACTGATATTTATGGTCTTGGTCGGAGGAGGATTGTGGGAAGCAGTTAGCCTCCTTATAAAAAACCCTCCTCTGTATTCTGATTGACCTATTTTCTCTATCAGCCGACACGTGACTGGTTATTTGTCGTGCTGAAGGATTATTCTTTTTTCTGCTCTGTTACTCGACCTAGTTGGAGCAGGTCGCAAGAGGAGGATTCCTTTTGCAACCCTTACCAGGCTGTCGCTGCTCTCTTCTGGGTTTTCCCTACTTTACTGTGTCGAAAGTTTTTTTTTTTCCGACACTTACTAACAACCATGAACTACGTTTTCTTGTAAATTTTGCTTATTTATTTATTCACTACTTTCTATTTCTTAATATTAAGTATTACATTTGAAAAAAAAATTCCTTGCCTTAAATGCGTTACCATCTAATATTTTTAGGCGAAAACCTCTGATACACAGACTATTCTATCTCTATTTATCATGACGAGCTACATTTCATAATTCCACCAATCGTGGTCATCTTATGTTAATAATATATATGATAATGTTAATAATATATATGATAATGTTAATAATATATATGATAATGTTGATATTACTTGATTCCTTGGAAGGAAATAGCATTCATTTACTCAGTAGCCATTACGCTTTTCCGCTATAATTTATAAAATATTTCTCTTTGTTTTTACGAAAACATTTCTCATATCCAGTAGCTATTATTAATCTTTCCAGTATTGATGGAGGTTTCTTTTAAAAAGTTTCTGCTTGAAATAATGTGCAATGTTGATTATATCATTATTTTCTCTTTGAGTTATATGTGCTATCGATTTTAGTTGTTGCTGGCGTTGGTAGTCCTCAAGTGACGTGGTTTCTGTTATCCGGTACATGTCTTGGTGATTCAGTAGCGGCAGTCCACAATTTTCACAATAGTAAAAGCCAAAGGTTTTACTCGCTCAAAACATTTTTTCCATTTTTTCCACCATTGATCTTAGAAAACAGTCGTATACAGCTGACAGTTTAGACATTTCTGAGCGGATTTTGCGCCGTGAATGTCATCTATATGAAAGTCTTGATTTGACGAGGATATCTAAGACCATTACTCGATTTTTTTTTTCAGGTTGACGTTCCGGTTTTCTGGCAACTTTGGGCGTTAGTCGAATCTTTGCTCTGACACTGAATTTCTTTTTCGCCTATACTTAATTTGCTATAATTGATTTTTACACCAAGGTATTTGCAATGTTTAATATACAGAATGTGGTATTAGCAAATATATTTCACGGAAAGTGCTCTGAAGTACTATGATTCCTGTTCCCTACAATTCAAACCTCCACGGCAATGACACGCCACGCCACTTACATCATAGCAAACTCCCTCCGTAATCCATTGATGGGAAGTAAGTCCCACTCGAACTGCTTATCCCCACTATGGAACCGAATCTCAAGCTGATGTTTCCCTGATTACTACAGTTTTAACCTGTTCAAGTCTAGTGTTAACAGTTATCTCTTATCCATATAAAGTACCTCTTAACGTGCGCCCTCTACCTCGAGTGGTCCCCGGGGCCGTGTAAAGATTGAATCTTACTGGTAAGGGAAGGATGTCAGATCTTACGAATTGCGTTTACATCGCACATGATTAACTTCTGGCGGTATCTAACTGGTTCAAACAAGAGAAAATTGCTTCACAGTTAGAAGAATAAAAATATTTCAAATGAGATTAGTAATGTTCGGCATTTAGCTCTATCAAATAAAGAGTTAACTATTTGGGACCTATTTGGCAAAATTTGCTAGGCCGTCTAATATTTCCGGAAATGGGTCAGGAAAGCAAGAAATATACAAAATAAACTTCCTTTGGTACGTATTATCTAAGAGAAAATAGACGAACAAGCGACACAGTTCAAATTAGACTATTCTAATGTGTTCAACAAGGAATGCTATTGTTTCCGAATGTTAACTTTCCTGCTTCTGGATTCAGTTAGATATTTGCTTTTTCCTTGATCTATTTACTTTATATAACGTCCAGGCATTTAGTGACAAAAATGGAAGCTTTCTTTTTATCAAAATCTATTTTATCAATACTTACTGCTTTCTTGCATGATGCACATCCATACATTGGAATCTTGATCAAGGAGGCAAGTGAAAACTCAATCTTGAGCAATATTAATACTGGATTGTTACGCGACAGCTGTCCTTCTTTACGTTAGCGAATGTTGGACGATTTCCTCAAAGACGAAGAAGAGACTTGAGGTGACAGAAATGATGTTCTACGGAAGGATGCTAAGGATATCATAGACTGAGTGTGTGAGCAACGATAAGGTTTTAGAGAGGTTGCAAACACGGAGGAGTCTTATACTTTATATCAGCAAGAAGCAGCTGAAGTTTCTGGGACACATAATGAGGAAAGTAGGCCTGGAGAATCTGATACTCACGGGTCGAATAGAGGGAATAGGGAGTCAAGGGAAAATAACGCGTGACATACCTGGCAGGCTTAAGCAAGTGGATGACAGAACGTGGTCTGTGGGAGGAAGCAGAAGGAAGGAACTTGTTGAGATCTGCAAGGGATAAAGGGAGGTGGAGAGCCATGATCGCCTACGTTCTGAAAGGATATGGCGCATAAAAAGAAAAGAAAGACTACAGCCATACTGACGACTCAGTTCATGAAAGGGAGCACTTTCACTCTGTTGTAGAGTAGTTTTAACAGTGGAGGCTTGTATTTCCTAAAAAGGTCCGACGTGCAAAACGTTGGGAACTTGCAATAATAGTTAATGACGCAGCAATCTAGTTGTGATGGTTGATACTTCAATGTCCGACATCGACTAACTCACTCAACTCCACTGAGCCCAACTGACGACCGCTACTACTACTACTACTACTACTACTACTACTATTTATTATGTGTGGGAGAGTCTATTACAATAGAATAGGTCATGTTCCGGTATAACACATTCAAAGCTGTACAGCATAGATATTACGGGATAATGACTTATTTATGTCGTCTTTCAACACAAACCTGTCACGTGAATACACCCCAAACAATTACAAAATCATCTTCAGCTTAAATTAAAAAAAATTGAATCCATGACCTCATGGGATCTGAACCTTATCAGAATCTTGTCATCAGCGAAACAACTAGAACTCCGGTAAATCGGACTACGGCAATTTTTCGCCGTCAGCCAATATTCAATTAGCAATGTCCTTAGAAAACAAAAATATACTTGGTTGAACCGGAATATTCTGTTGAGTATGTAGTAACCACATCATACCAGTGCATAAAGATCTAACTACAAATCTATGATTGATTAAAGCAAAATTCATCTCAGGTGCCACAATATATCTGCAGTAGGCACTAACGATACAAAAGTCATGGGTTATAGTAAAAGTTACCTTTCAAATGCTAAGGTCTTTCAAATGCTAAGCAACATTTCAGAAGCAACTAAGAAAAAAAGACACACTTGTTATGTAACATAGGTCTTTCTATATTACAGTGAAGGCTGAACAATCTCATCACATATGAAGAAGAGACATGAGGCAACAGAAATTGACTGAATGTATGAGCAACGACGGAGACATATTTAACATCAGAGAGAGACAGTTGAAATTTGTTGGGCCTATAATAAGAAAGGGCATAGAAAATTAGACACACATAGAACAGATTGAAGGACAGAGGGACAAAAGAAAACAACACATAACCTACCTGATCTGTTTGTGTAAATGGATGGCAGAACAGTTTTGTTTTAGAAGAGATAGCAAAAGTAAATTTACTAAGAGTTAGAAAGGGCATGAAATTATAGAGAGCCATGATCGCCAACTTTCTGAAAGTACACAGCTTATAGAAATATTAGATCGAATAATCATTAATTGATGAATATCCGAGAGAGGAAACGTACCATAATTTTTGGATAGTACCTTCATTGTTTATTCAAATTCCAGTTGAATCCGTTACATTCACTTCCTTGCTAATAACCTTAGGAAAAGTATGAATACTCTTCTTCTCCCCCAACCCCAGTTATGGGTAAATAGCAGGACAGACTGGGTTCTATAAGTTTGGAAATGACTGGTATAGAATGACAACTCTGAATTCAAAACCTGCAGAGGGCCGTTTGGGGACCTTGTGTCACACGGTGCACCAGGTCTCTGTATTCGGCTCTTGGTGGTTGCTTCTGCACAAAGCCTTCGCCACGATAAGCGCAATCTTCGCAAAGGTAATCTTGAAAATATACCTTCCACCCTAACAGCATGAATGTAGTTTATGTGGTAATTTTGCTCTTTCAAAGGAAGGTCTTCAGAGTCACATTAGGTCACATTAGCCTCGATCCATTGAAAGAAACCAGAAATCAATCCTTGTGATTTCTTGTATACTCTGCCATAAAGTATGCAGGTTAGGTCTAGATGAATAAAGCACATGAAAATTCACGTTGATGCGGTGCCTGCTGCATTTAGTGATCTCCCTTTCTGGTCCAGCATTTGCGCAAAAGATTGTAAGAGTAAGGCTGGTTTTAAAAAGTCAACTTGGCTCTCATGATCGGTGAGTCTGAAATTTATTTAAAAAAAAAAAAGAAAGAAAATTTATGGTGGAGATTGTCTTCTTTGGTCCAGAAGTGACAATCGCCATAGAGGAATTGGTTATTCGATGAAATGTGTAACCCATATATTATATCACATGGTTTTCTGGATCTCTCCTCTTTTTCCTTTCACACAATAACATCCATGTCTCAGCGCATTTTTCTACTGGAAAATCCTCCTTATCTAGTCCTATGGGGGCAGCAGCTTTCAGGAACACTAGGCGTTGATACTATGCGAGATGCAGGCTGGTCAGAAATGCCAGGCATATCATAATGATAATCCATCACCTCAAAAGCTCTTTGTACATAGTATTTAAAGCATAGAGACCGAGGGTTTTGGGGACGTGAAAAGCGAGCATTCGCTTTCAGAGTACGAGAAACGAGTGTGCACTGAGTTCAAATATGAGTGGCTACAGTATGCTTCATGATCGAACGCAATCATCAGGTGTTGTAGGGTATAATGTGGGTGCCACTGACAAGTATATATATATATATATATATATATATATATATAATAGAAAAAACAGGAAACACACATGGTCTAAAGTTTGCGCTCAAGCATGAAACAGACTGTTGCCACTCGATATTGATCTCAGTGTTGACTTTCTATATTTAGATACAATCTTAATTTAAAAGAGTTTTTGTGCTTTCAATATATATTCTTTTGTAATATCAGGGATTGTCAGCAAACTAAATATTGCATTGATAAACAATAGATTCAGTACGACATTTATTTTTGAATGGGCACTTTACAGATTTCCTAAAATTATATATA